CTCTTTGATGTGGTGCCAACAGAACCGACAGATCTACAGGAGATGGTAGGCTTTCTTAATATCAGGGAATCGTGAAAGAAATACCTGATAACCACAAACGCATGGCTTGAAATTAAGGTCGGAAATGTCCATTTCTTCGAGACAAAGGGGGCATTCAACATCTTCCTGAGAATTCCAATCGATAACTATAAGCAAAAGAGCAAACTACAGGCTTAATGATCCGTACCGCCTCGTCGTCGCTCCAATACGCGTCTTGGACGCCTGCTAATACATGGGATTTAGACTGAGGAACTGAAAATCCAGCATGAACTACTGGCGCCGGTAAGGCATGGTGAATCCTGGTGGTCGCCATTATTTCGAGGGAAAACGGTCAAAGACGAGAGAGGATATATGAGTTGGTGGTAAAAAAAAAGACAATGTCCATAGGCCCTCCTCGCGGTTGCTCAGCTCAGCTTAGTCAGCTTCGGCCATCGCCGGCCGGGTCATGCACTGGTTGGTCTCGAGTCGAGTTCGAGTCTCGACCACTTTGGCACTTGTACTTGTCCTACTATGACAAGGCCTCTAGAGTCCAGAATGTAGAAACTGAACTCAAAGCCCAGAGTCATGGTTTGAACCTCTCTATTCACCATGTAGTCATTGTTTGCGAAAACATCGAGAATGTTCGGCCCCAGTCATTAATTGATGAAGATGCATAGAAACATGAACAAGTACAGGTTCAATTCAATCGTGAACAACTGTCTCAGGCCAGCTCAGAAGTTTCCTGACCGCTCAGAAAACGACTATTCTAGGCAGATGCAAGATGAACGAGTGTTGAGGGAACACACTGGAGGACAGTTGAATGGTCTAGTAGTTCATAACTCGTCTCAGACATATAATTACCTTGAGTTCCATGAGCATCATAGTTCTTGTCCAACCAGCCTTCCGTGCAGGGGCGACTTGCAATGCGCTCGAGGAGGATTTCTTTCAAAGAGACGGTAAAATTGACTCTTCAAGGTAGAGCGCGCGCTGAGACAATTGACTGAGAGAATACCAAGGAATTTGTCGTCCAAGATCCATAAGACTAGCAGGGTACAAACTTTGAGAAGGAAAATAGAAAGGGAATAGATCCAAATGACACTCTGGTCACCGACAGATGATAGCCCAGTCTATTTCTGCTCCTTCTCCGTATTTTTCTTTAAGCCACTCATTCGCTTGTTTGAAGTGACCATTTCCAAGGAATCCACGATAGGCAGATAGCGGTGACGGATGTGCCGACCTGATCAACAAGATTCAAACAGATCGTGGCGAAATATACATACAATTTCACCTACCTTAAAACAAGATGCTTCTTCTGTATTGAAAAATAAACATCAGTGTAACGAAAAAAACATCCAACGAATAAATTTTACTTCGTCGATCCCGATTTTGCCACACGTCTTCTGCGCAGGAAGGCCCCACGCCATGAATACAACGCCATTACTATTAGATCGTGAAGTGACGGCCTTAATAGCTTGGGCGGTGAGGGTCTCCCACCCTTTACCCGAATGGGATCCAGCTTTGTGCGCTCTTACAGTGAGTGAGGTATTGAGCCAAAGTACACCGAGTTGCGCCAGAGGAGTCAGGTCACTGTAGTAGGATAAGGATAAAGTATCGACGATCAAAATAACTGACCCAGTAGTAGGAACTTTGAACGACGGTACATCTGTGGCCATCTGCTTGTATATGTTTTTCAAAGATCCAGGAAGTGCAGTGGGGGGTAGAACAGAAAATGATAAGCCTAGCCATGCTCGTCAATATTTCACAGAAGGTCATAGTCGCCAACGGACTTACCGTGCGCTTGGCCAACATTGTGATACGGATCCTACGGTCTAAAATCAGATGTACAATGAAGTAGAAGAAACATTGCTCACCTGTCCCAAGATGACAACCTTGACGGATTCAAGCGGCGTTAACCGAGACCAAGAATAAACGTCTTTTACTGAAGTACATTCAGGAGGAGTCTTCAAGACCAAAAGGGAATCAACAGACAAGGTGGGTAAACCGTTCCCGACTTGAGTTCAGTGGCTAGAAATTCTTTTAGCTACTGATCACCATCAGCCAAGTTGTGAGTTTATAATGAAGTACTCGCCTTTATGAAATATGCCTTTTGAAATTCGGTCTTGAGTGCTTCGTACCACGCAGAATCCATTGTTTCTATCTCCAACGCGTCAAGACGCGCAGCGACGGTGGCATCCAGTTCCACGGGAGCATTGACACTGGCACCGTCTTTAGAGGATGTAGCAAAAGGAAGTGTTTGTCTTAGAATGCTGAATTAGTTACGCGTCGGATTCTACCAATCAAAAGCTCACTGAATCTTCTTTGCTGTTGTTCTTTTGGCGGTCGAAACAGCAGACCGAGCAGCTTTCGTTGCAAGCATTGCTGGCGCAGCTTCAGACTTGTCTTTAGGCATGAAGAATGGAGGTGGTTGAGAACAAAGCTCAATCAATAATGATCGCGTTTGAGTACCGGGCCGAGTTTGTTTAGCGCTACTTGCAATTGCTTCCATCAATATCCCCGCACGCCTCGAGTCAACCTCGAGTTCTCCTTTGTTCTCCTTCAGATGGACCAGCGTCTTTCTAGCCTTCTGTCCTGCAACGATGCTCCTTCGCAGGAAGAAACTGACGCAATTCTGGAACACTATTCTGTCACTGATATGACTGATGAACTGGCACGACTAAATTCACAGATTGCCTGTTTACAGTCCTCACTGGAGGCCATCACAGCTAAACGCGACGGGGTCCAAGAAAAGCTTGATGTCTACCGCGCCGCACTCTCTCCTATCCGCCGATGTCCCACCGAAATACTCCAGCAGATTTTCGTGGCCACTATTGATGCATTTCCAGTCCTTTCGTACGGCCAAGGTCCTCCTCTGCTCGGGCGTGTTTGCAGCCGTTGGAGGGCGATCTCTTGGGCTACCTCAGAACTCTGGTCTGCAGTGCATGTAACTATTCCTGAAGCCTTGCATACGTTCCAAGACTATGACCGAAAGTGTGAAAGGCTTCGGGCTAGCCTATCTGCTTGGTTAACAAGAGCAGGGACGCTCCCGCTCTACATCTCCATGTTCTCTAAAAACGAGAACACATACCGAGAAGATGTGCAACAAGTTACTCAAATGCTACGAGTGCTTGTCCCGTACAGTAAACAATGGAGATATCTCAGCCTCCAGATTCCTGCCTCGTCCTTGAATGTTCTTGCTGAACTTCAAGGAGTCGATGTCCCACTCCTAGAAACCGCCTTGATTGCTTGCTCCGACACCAATCCTTTTGTGTTGGAAAATACCAGTAGGCATCCTTCATTCCTAGAAACAGCACCTGGCCTTCAGTATCTCAGCCTAGGCGACGCCGGCCCGATGTTTCGTCCTGTCGTTCCATGGAGCCAACTCCGTTTTCTCTCAATGGATCATAACGATTGGAACTTTGGTGCCCAAGAGCTCATAGAAATTCTTGCTGAATGTTCAGAGTTGAAAGAGTGCATGTTGGCAATACACGCGCGTACTGATCTGTCGCACGCGTTGAATGATCCTATCTCTCTGCTTCACCTGGAGAAGCTGTCGTTAAACACTAACTGTGTCATAATGACAGAAGTTCTAGACCAGCTATGTCTGCCGAGGCTAACGCATCTACATCTGGATGGCTATCGTGCAGAGCTGAATCCCGCCGTATTGAACTCATTGAAAGGCATGCTTCACAGGTCTAAATACCCGCTGACTAGTCTCAAATTAGAAGTCAAACGCTCCGTTACATTGTCAACATCTGCACTGATAGACCTGTTGAAGTCAATGCCTTTGTTGAAGGGATTGGTGTTTGCAGAGACCAGTACCCAAACTCCGATAATTGATGAAGAACTTTTGAAAGCACTCTCTAATATGGTGGACGTGGTCTGCCCACACCTAGAGTTGGTTCTCACTGTCAAACAGACAATCCGAGAGTTATTGATATACACCTTTTTAGATATATAAGTATTCCCGACCGTTTCACCTTTTCAGAGCAAGCACTAGAAACATTTGTTACGACTCGACTGGATCCCCCTCCTGAGCTGACAAGGCTGCAAACTGCAGTCATTGTAAGCTATAGGAATGGTTTAGCGGAACGTTTCTCTCGGTTTGGGGAACGCATCAGGATCATAGAGGACATTCCCTTTCGCAGCTTACCTTCGATAGGTCGTCCGAACTCGAGATATATAGAGTATTCCGACGAGTACTAAATTATGGCATGAGCGACGGGACTTTTAGGGATTCTTTAGGGTTCATTTATGGATTAATCTTGCGTTTATCATTATCTTTGCACTACCTAAGAATGACACCAGAGCACCGGGATATAAGGCGTTATACTATATGTACAACGTATGGGGCGGTACAGCGAAACGACACAATGCATCGAGACTCTGGATGTAGGAAAGGGAAGTTGGGTAACAGTAGATGCTCAAATCTTCGTCGAAAGAAACTACGAAAAGATGTCAGTAAGAATATAAGGATTTCGTTCTAAACAATGCGGTAAAGAGATTCAGTTAACGGTTTTCTAGGCCGCCACTCCTTGGAGTGTAGTGCATCGCAGCATGGTTTTGCTTAGAGCCCAGTGCGCTTCATCCTTGAAAAAATCGAGAAAGAAAAAAACTCACTTCGTGGACGGACGCTGATTAGGTGGTTGAAGCTTGAAACGAGGCGCTGTACATCTCGCACCGTACAGCAAAGAGCCAATCTCAAGAAAAGAAAGCAAGCGAAGGAGGAAAGACAACAGGGAAGCAAGAAAAACGTAATTTATACTTTGACTTTTGAGTCCCACGAAATTTACGCCGCAGGTTGCCGTAGTGTGCGCAAATTTATGTAAACGTGTACAGACACGACTCTTTCAAGATTAAGACCGCAGTCAGAGTATAAGAGGAGAGAGAGTCTGGACTATGTATAGAAGTAAATCATGAACAGAGAGAGAGAGAGAAAAAAACGCTCCAGACTCGGATTTGGGACACAAAAAAGACTACAAAACCTGCCCCAGAGAGGCTCGAACTCTCGACCTTCCGATGTCATCATACACACGTCTCAATAACAGTCGGACGCTGTAACCAACTCAGCCATGGGGCATTGTTTACGATGTTTTCTGGCTCGATAATAGCCGTATGTGAACTTGTATTAGAAGCTACCTTTCTCAATTATATTTCAAGAACAGTTGATACACGAACAGTGGATAGATAGTATACAATGAAGAGAGTGCTGTCAGTGTCACGAAAAAATGGTGGAAAAGAACCGTGGGTCGTGAATAAGTTTAATCACTTTATCCGCCACTTGCAAATCTAAGAAAAGACATTGTCAGAGGCTAATTCCGTCAGACGAGTAAATCGACGCACCCAAGTCGGATTTCAAGTTTATCACGCCTGCCTTTCGCACCGTTGTCGCGTCGACAACATGCCCGATTATTTCTACGAATGTGGTAGTGATCCCGGAATCCTGTCGCCAATATTAGAGCGATATCCAGCATAAATGGGGAGAGATCGTTACCCCTGTGAATTTAACAAGGATCTCACCCCCATCGGACGTTTGTACTGTTACTGTGTTTTCCGTTGTCTAACTGGAATGTTAGACCTTGGACTTGGAACACACTTAGGGTTTTCGTACAGTGAGTATCTTGCAAGGAATCCTAACAATTTGTCCGATAAAACGAGGCAAAATGGCCGAGTTGACTCGAGGAGATATTTCCGACATGGTTGTTCGCGAAGAAAAGTATGTCACATCGCGTTGTCACCTGTTGTCACATAATTACATCAACTTTGAAAGCAGGCCCTTTGAACTCCGGCCTCTGAGCAATGATATTCAACATTGGAAGGAACAAAGCGCGAACGCTTGGATCTACCCCGTTCTCAGATGCATGGTGCGCTTTCACCCATTGTTTGACTTCCTCCCACTCAACCCATTCCCATTTTTCGCATTTTTCAGGCTCACAATTCTATCATTGATATATTAGAAATATTGATACTACCTGCTAATGGATGGCTCACCTCTGGTTCAGCCTCAGGATCTACTATCTCGCATGCAACCCATATTGTCACATAGTGTTTTCCTTCTGCCTCCATAACATCGTTCGTTGCGGTAAGAAACCGGACATTCTTGATCTTTAGGTTGGTTTCTTCTATCACTTCTCGAGCAGCACAATCCTCAAAAGATTCTCCTCCCTCAAGATGTCCTCCGGAAGTGCCCATGTCCCTACATCGTTGTTATCTATGCTGGCCTTTACCATGATTCAAAAGGAATGCATGTCTTACCCTGCCCATGACTTCCTTTTCGTTTTCCCAAAACAAATTTACCCCCTCTGTTCATAACAAACACCCCAACGCCTACTCTGACAACCATTTGAGCTGATTCTGGCATCCGATTCGAAGTCAAGGAGCGGCTCACGGCCCGAGGTTTTAGAGAAAACTCGTTTATAATGATCACTAGTACTACTACGATATGACTGTACATGGACGGTATATCATCCCTACTGCGCCTTCAACTCTAGTTTTACCCGCACCAAGTTTTCTGGGTCTATCCCACTCCTTCGAAATACATTCCTCATGCTCAGGATCAATTCCATGTCCTCCGGTAAGTCGCTGGTAAGCAATTCACCAACTGCAATGGAAAGCCTGTCAGATAATAACAACGGTTCGAGGAACACGATTCTGAAGCGTCGAAAAGCTAGCGAGGGTATAGGGACAATGCAGTTTAAAGCGCTGCCTGCCTCTGCCCAAGATTCGACTTCGTCCCAGGTCCCCAAGTTAGAATCACTGCCTTTTCTATATCCCCATCTCTCTGCCTTGTATTCCCGAGTCTCAGCTAGAAATGACGCATCATGTACGGGGACGAGCGACCATCCATATCCCTCCTGAACGCGCAGTGCAATGAACATTCGCTGCATGTGAGACAACATCCGAAACGAAATTTGAGCTGCGGTTGAGTATCGAGCGAACTCGGTAACGATATACCTTGCCAAATCCGAACTAGAATCATCCGGTACGTTGTCAAATATCTTCTTTGCTCTTTCAGCAAAAAAGTCGTCAACCTTTCTGTATCCAGCCATCCCGTGTACGCTATCGACTCTGGGCCCAGAGACAGTCGGTACCGGTGTCGCCACCTGCAGACCATTTCCCACCCCTTGACTCGGGGAAGAACGTTTCTGGACTTTACTATTATGCTGAGTATTCTGGTAGTTGAAACATTTCGAATAGACTGAAGAATACGTCTCGATATCCACAGGTATGTCTGGTGAGTCGAAGATGCGCTCCAAGGCAGGGCCGGCGGTCGCCCAGAAGGACTCTACCGTTTCATAGGGGATACGTGGTCTACGAATTTGTACAGTGGTCATCCTGATGGTTCGGGACAAAGCTGTTGATCATGAATCGAAATCGTTAAAACTGTTCATAGTGGAAAGCGTGGGATAATCTGAACATCTTCATGTTCTGCTTCCAACAGCACTTCAGATGAACAAAACTATTCAGTCTTTGAAGACCAAGCTTCGTGTGCCCACGAGATCTGCGGCGAGGACTCGCACCAACCCCCAATCACTTGCTGAGAGCCGCAGAGATCTCGATTAGGCTGCTCAAGGAACTATCTGATACTGTTCCTTTCATTGAAAGTGCCGCGGCCGGTACTATGTTCATAATCGAACAGTGCAAAGTGCATAGTACTGTATGCTATTCGGAGTAAGTCTCGGTAGAAATATGTTCGCAATTCCAAAGACTTGGATGATCTTTTGAGATCCCTTCAGATGCTCGAGATCTTGGTGCTGCCCTATAAGGACGGGAAGCATTCAACAGTTCGATGTGTTGATTCAGCAAATAACATATCTCGGAGCCCTGCAAAGCATCTCAGCTGTTTGGTAGGGCCCCCAGCGCAGGGTATATTTCCCAAGCACGTACGCATATACCAGGAGATGTCTAGAGGCAACAAACCGAGGTGTTTTTTCTTTTGACCGCAACCCCGTCGTAGTTGGCTCTGACGATGGCGAAGAACACGTCGGATGTTTTACTGAGTTTTTGGAGGGCAGTGTTAGCTATTCACTGCTCTTGGAGTTCTTCACCGACACGGTCTTTATACCAGGGGATTGTCGTTGGAGACGTCGACCAGCGTTCAGATATTCAGTGCCAGCGTCTGAGAAACGCGTCGAGATAACGTGGCATTTGGATGGGAGTACAATGGGAGTATACCGGCAGTATGACGGTATTGGGGCAATATTGGAAAACAAAAGCGAGGAGATATGAAAGATTCTTTCTAGGCAAGAGGGGATTCCGATCCGTGATACAATTCCCACGGGAGTGAAAACGGACGTTCTTGAATCTTGATCTGTACTTTCTACAGTGTCACTTCTCGTCGCTCGAGCAGCAAAGATTATCCTCGTTCAAGATGTCCTCCTGGAAGTGCCCATGTCCCTACGTCGTTGTTATCTACGCCGACCTTGCCATGATTCAAAAGGAATGCATGTCTTACCCTGCCCATGACTTCCTTTTCGTTCTCCCGAACCAAATTACCCCTCTATTCGTAACAAACATCTCAACGCCTACTCTGACCACCTTTTGAGCTGATTCTGGCATCAAGTCAAGCAGCGGCTAACAGCCCGAAGTTTTAGCATTGAAGAGAAGATTCATTTATAATGATTGTTACTGCGATTATTGATGTAACTGAACATGGACAACATATCATCTCTACTGCGCCTACAATTCCAATTTCACCCGCACCAAGTTTTCTGGGTCTATTCCACTCCTTCGAAATACATTCCTCATGCTCAGGATCAACTCCCTGTCCTCTGGTAAGCCACTGGTAAGCATTCCATCAACTGCATTGGAAAGCCTATCAGATAATAACAACGGTTCGAGGAACATGATCCTGAAGCGTCGAAAAGCTAGCGAGGGTATAGGGACAATACAGTTCAAAGGGCTCCCAGCCTCTGCCCAAGATTCGACTTCGTCCCAGGCTCCCAAGTTAGAAACACTGCCTTTTCTATATCCCCATCTCTCTGCCTTGTGTTCCCGAGTCTCAGCTAGAAATGACGCATCTTGTACGGTGACGAGCGGCATTCCAGCAGTGAACCATCCACATCCCTCTTGAATCAGTCGTGTAATGAACGCTCGTTGCATATATACCAGCATTCGAGATGAAGTTTGAACTGCAGTTGAGAATCGAGCAAACTCTGTAATGATATACCTGACCAACTCCGAACTGGAACTATCTGGTAGTGGTACGTTGTCCAAGATCTTCTCTACTCTTCCAGCAAAAAAGTCGTCGACCTTTCTGTATCCAGCCATCCCGTGTTTGTTAGAGACAGTACCTGGTGCCGCCACCTGCAGGCCATTTCCCAATCCTTGACTTGGGGGAGAGCGTTTCTGCACAATACTACTCTGGTAGTTGAAATATATCGAATAGACTGAAGAATACGTCTCGGCATCCACAGGTATGTTTGGTGAGTCAAATATGCGCTCCAAGGCAGGGCCAGCAGTTGCCCAGAAGGACTCTGCAGTTTCATACGGGATATGTGGTCTACGAATTTGTACAGTGGTCATCCTGGTGGTTCGGGACAAAGCTGCTGGAGGCTCTGAACTGAAATCATTGACTGTTTAAACATTTTGTAGTGTAAAGTGTGGGATAATCTCAATATCTTCATGCTCTGCTATCCACAGCACTTCGCCGGGATGAAGAAAACCATTCAGCCTTTGAAACCCAAGCTCCGTGCACCCACGAGATCTACGGCGGGGACTCCTTCACGCCCAATTCTCAATGACTTGTTGAGAGTTGCAGAGATCTCGATTAGGCTGCTCAAGGAACTATCTGATACTGTTCCGTTCATTGGATGCACCGCTTTCGGTACCATATTCGTAATCGAGCAGTGCAAAGTGCGTACTTGGAAAATACCAAAGACACTAACCTTCACTAGAAATATGTTCGCAATTCTAAAGATTTCGATGATCGTTTGAGATCCCTTCAGACGCTCGAGAACTTGGGGCCGTGTCTCCCTATAGGGACGGGAGGTCGACTTTGCCGTCCAAAGTGATGGAAAGCATTCAGCAATTCGACAGGTTTGTCCTAGTTCGGCAAATAGCATAACAGTGGCGGATTGA